TGGGGGAGGGAGAGAAGTGTTCCTTTTTTGAGGCTGGAGTGGCCACCAGGGCACCCTGGGAAGGCTGGAGGCCCCCTATTTTGAAATAAGTGTCTACACAGCACTTATTTCCAAATAGCTATTTTCAATTTGGCATTATTCCTCATAGAATGAGGTTTACCAAATTTGAAATAAGCGCTCCGAATTTATTTTAAAATAGCAGTTTGATTGTATAGATGCTAGGAAAGTTATTTCGAAATAACGTTGCTGTGTAGACATACCCTAAGAGATTAACAGCTGCAAAGTATTTTAATTATAATTAAAATTCTTGAGTTTTTTCCCACCGGTATAAATTTCTCAGAATTTTCCTTTCATTTAGTTATAAAGCTTTTTGTGATTGTGTGTCCATAAATATCTGCCCAACAGATACGGAAGCCAGTGAGGTCCAAACATTGTGGCGTGTGCAATCGATGTATAGCAAAGTTTGACCACCACTGTCCATGGGTGGGTAACTGCGTAGGTAAGTGATTGCTCAAATATGGAATCTTAACAAGTAGAGATGGGAAAAATACAGTTAGGTCAGTTTGTGCACCTCTTTTTTAAAGCAATAGATTGCTGACTAGCATGAGCCTGTGATATGCGGCACAGATTTTGAAGCCAGGGGAGCAGGGCATGCCCTGTCTCCCAGACAAAGTCCTTTTGGAGAATCAAAGTCCAGCAGTTCACAGGTACTTAGTAAGTTTGATTAGAACAATCAACAATGCAGTGGGAATGCTAGCTGCAGCTAAGCCTGGAACACTCTGTTCAAGCACTTGTCACTATCAGAAAGAAAGAACTGAGGAGAGAAGCTCCAGGGAGTGTCCCATATAGCGTAGAATGTGCACACCACTCCAGGGAGTGCAGGGTGCCTTGTCTTCTACTTGGCCTTTCCCTATTGCTTAACGAAAAATTTCTGGCGCTGGTGCATGTTGCAGGCACACACACCTATGTAGAATGGACATGAGCAACAGATATCGAAGAACATCAGTTACAGAATAGGTAACTACCTTTTCAGTATGCCAGCTGTCCCAGGGATAGAGGACTACTTCGGCCCTATCTCAGCGCAGAAGCTTGGGGCCAGGTGAAAAGCACCTCTCCATGGCTACTCCTGTTCCCGTGGGCATAGCCCAGGGCGAGGGTGCATGTGTCCTGACTGGGGCAGGTCCAGGTTTATCTGTGCCTGTGCTACCCAGCCCTCGGGAGAGTGAGGAATGCAGTGAACTGTGTATTTTCCCTTAGGTAACTGATGAAGTGAAACAGAGAGCAGTGTTTCCCTACGAATGGTGGGGGGAGCTTCAGTCCCTCCCTCCTCCCCAAAGGACACCAGGCGTGTGGAAGACTCAGCCCCAGCCAGCCCCTTTCACTTGCCTGGTGATTCTGT